CTTATTACCGCATGAAACGTTGGCAAATGGCAGACATTCATACTTACTTTGCATATTTTTGCATGTCATACCGCTCTGTACCGTCCAACTATAAATAAGAAATTGACACATTAAAAAAAAGAAAAAAATCACGTTTAAATTAGATTCATGCACGAGCGTAAATAAGATTAAGCGGTTGAAATACGCGTGAACAAATATACCAATGCAAATAAGTAGCTAAATGGAAACGTGGAATGTAGTTAAATTCAATATTCTGGTTGAATCATTCTGACAAATAAAAATTTTTCCCTTTCTTTGCGGGTACTCTTCCTACGTTGCTCTGCTGGCGGTTAGCATGCGACTGTACCCCCCACCACGTGCGCGACTCTACCCCCACCACGTGCGCGACTCTACCCCCACCACGTGCGCGACTCTATCCCCACCACATGTGCGACTCTACCCCCACCACATGCGCGATTCTATCCCCACCACATGCGCGTCTATTGCCTTACTAGACGGTGCGCGGGCAAGCGATAAAAGCGATAGATCCACGTTCAGTAGTCACTCAATAACCTCCGCGCGCGATGGTTCATTAATTTGATAATATCGTCGTTTGAAACGGTCGACGGTATATAGTGACAGAGAGTATGACGACCACGTGAAGAGAACTTGTTCCCTGTGTTGTGTGCTGTTTCTCACGCGGCTTTCACGCTGAGTTTACGCGGCTATTTCGAAATCCACAGGGCGGACACGAAAATGCGGTTCGACGATCAGCTTTTCGAGGCTTTAGGTAAGTCAAGATATTTGCATTCATTCGTCGAGACAGACGAGCTGTATATTAAACTGAATATATTGCGCCTGAATTGGTTGATTTATTCTTTAATTTATTCTTACTTCAATGAAATGTTTCACTGTATTGCGTTCCCTTCACGTCGTGTTTGATTTTACAGAAATGACTATACTTTGGTCAAGGTCTCGTTGCAACTGTTCTGTAATTTTTTTTTTCTTTTCTAATTCGGTACGTTCGCTTATCGATTCCCGTTTCGCCGAAGAGCTTGCCAATTATTTTTAAATATTGATAACATTCAATTATTTGGTATTAAAACGCAATGCTAGTGTGACCTTCGTTTTTTGTACAATTATTTCTCGGCTTGCTGAAATTATTCTTCGAGGTCAAATAGTAATGCCCAGAGATAAGATGTATGTATCGTCGCATAATTGAGAAATGCAGTATTACCTATTAGCATAAGTAGGTGTACATTAATTAGGAAAACGGTAAATTTGAAAATTAAAACAATTATATTCAATCAACTAACGTAATTACGTTAGTTAAAGGAGTTAACGTTAATGAAAATGAAAACCAAATGACAAGTATCGATCGAGCCAGGTTTTAATCGTTTTCAACGATAACGATAAGTCTGTTTGAGATTTTTAAAATAATTATTATTTTCATTGGCATTTAACGCTGCAGTCATTTTTAAACGCGATAAGAAGAACGCGTATTTTTTTTTTTTTTTTTTTTTT